GGGTGCTGTGCGTCCTTCTGGATCCCAGTTTGTGGCCTCCCTGTGGTCTGGCTCTTTGTGATGGGGTCACCCTGTCTTTGTCAGGCCTGGGCTGTTGCTCTCCTTTCCTGGCACTGTGTCAGCTCAGCCCCCACAAAAGGGGCCTGTTGGCAAAGGGGTGTTTTCCTTTTCTGTCTTCAGAAGCCAGCTGTGTGAAACTTGCCTCTGTCTGGTGGGACCTCACTAACATCTTCCCATGTCCTGATCCTTCCACCTTTTAACCAAGTCTCCTCAGGGTCTGGCCTCAGAGAACAGGGTTGTTGGGGTGGTTTATGCAGCTCCTTTACTCTGTGATGCAGCAGGGCTGGGGCTGCCCACACTTGCCTCTGAGCAGCCAGTGCTCGCTCCAGGGCCTGTTCTGTACAACACGTGTACAGATGGACGTAGGGCAGCTCCCGGCATGGAAGGGGAGGTGGACCGACGGGGCAGTAATGGGCACCTCTGCAGGTCAAGGGCAAGGAGAGGGGCTGCCTTGCTTTGCGCAGGGGCCTGACCTGGGCCCTGCCTCCTGCCTACTGTGTGCCTGTCAGTCCCAGGTGCTGGGGACAGGGTGACAGATGAGGCGGTGCTTATGGGTGAGTGGGAAGACGAGACACAATATTTACTGTCAGGTGGTGAAAAGCACATGCAGCAGGGATGCGCCAGGGGAGACTGGAATTCGGGCTGGGTGTCCTGGGCAGGATGGCACTCTCTGGACTCATCACATCACCCGCCGTGTGCTGGCCCCATTTGGCCAGAGTGCACTGAAGTGTGTGCTTCTTTCTTTAAGGGAGCAAAGCTTGTATTGGCTTGCAATTCAGCAGCTGCCTACAGACCCTATAGAAGAACAGTTTCCTGTCCTAAATGTGACCCGGTACTATAATGCCAACGGGGATGTAGTGGAAGAGGAGGAGAATTCTTGCACCTACTACGAGTGCCACTACCCTCCCTGCACGGTGATTGAGAAGCAGGTGGGTGTGCTGCAGTGCGGCCTGGTCCTTGGCACCTCTACCCTGTAGCCCAGCCTTGGTTTGGGGTCTTGCCCTCCCACCGCAGGGCCCCATTCCCCGGAGACCACTTGGGCTTTTCCACCAGGGTGGTCTCCCTTTGCCCTTGTGCTGGCCTGACCAGGGCCCAGGCCCTCCAGCCTTGGTACATGGTGTTTTGCTGGGTCCGTCAGATTGTCCGTGCGATGCAGTCTTTGCCCCACACTGCATCCCAGGCATGACGGTGAAGCCACAAGTGTTCTGTATTTCAGCTCCGGGAGTTCAACATCTGTGGGCGCTGCCAGGTGGCCCGGTACTGTGGCTCCCAGTGCCAGCAGAAGGACTGGCCAGCCCACAAGAAGCACTGTCGGGAGAGGAAGCGTCCCTTCCAGCATGAGCTTGAGCCAGAGCGATGACGGGCGGGAGAGCCGCACACACTCGCAGCCCCCGGGCTCTACCCTGGGCACAGCAGAGACAGACTGGTGGTTGAACCTGGAGGTGCCGAAAAAGCCAGCTGCGGGCCCAGGACAACCGCTGTGAGACTCCCGATGTCACAGGCAGTCTGTGTGGTTATAGCGCCCCTCAGTGTTCATCTCCAGCAGAGACAACGAAGGAGGCTCCCACCAGGACGGTTCTCATTATTTATATGTTAATATGTTTGTAAACTCATGTACAGTTTTTTTTGGGGGGAGGTAATGGGAAGGGTAGAAATTACAAATAGAATCATTTGCTGTAATCCTCGAATGGCAAACGTCAGGCCACGTGTCTAAAAACTGTCCTGTAGCTGAAGCTTCTCCCCTGGGCCACGGGAGCCCCATGGAGCGCGGCCTGCACAGGAGCTGTGTCCACAAAGGCAAAGTAAAGGGGTGGAATCATCCGGCGTCTCGGACATTCTCTGCTCTGCCTCCCTCTTGTGCTGCTGAGGGTGAGGTCATCTTGAGTGGAGCCGAATCCCTGTGAGGGCAGGAGGACGTGCCCTTGCTCCTGGTGGGCAGGAGCAGGTGAACTCAAAACTTCCTGAGTCCAGCAGTGAGCGTGAGTGAGACTCTGTCCTTGTCTTGTGGCAGGACTGGTGCGGGTGCTAAGTCAGCTGCCCACTGGTTCCATTGGGAGTGGGATGCTCTAGCCCCTGACATTGGTTAGTTCTTGCCTGATTTATGCGTGAAGTGGCTGGGAGCTCAGCAGTGACAGCTTCTGCCCAGAAGAATCCACAGGGCATGTTCAGCAGGCCTGCTGCCGACAGTGGAGGGGGCTGGCCAGCCAGGGTCAGGTGAGGGCCTCACTTCTCCATCCCTCTGCAGGGCTGTGGCTTCCAGGATAGCCCTCCCTCCTTGGGGAGCCCCCAGGTGTCTGGGGCTGGTCAGCATCTTGTACCCATAGAGCCGCCCCAGGGAAACATGCCAGGCTGTGTGGCTGGGATCCTGCCTGTCTCCAGGTGCGCCCAGCCAGAGGCCTTGCTTCTTGGGAGCTGAAAGCCTGGCCAGTCCGACTCTGACCTGTCTGGTCTGGTCCAGTCCAACCCTGTGTTGGTCCCGAAGGTTCCTGTTACACTTTCCCCTCTTGGAGCTCCATGTTCCAGGACGCCCTGTGTGTTCTCATTGCTGTTCCTGGCTGGGCTGGCCTTTTGTCTGTAAGCAGAACTTCCAGTAGCTTCTCTGGCAGTACCCTGGAGGCTCCTGAAGAACAGGCCTGCTGAAAGTGGGTGATAGCAACAAACTCTGCAGGATTTCCTGGAGTTTAGAGAACTGCATGTGCCCACATCAGGCCCTGAGAAGCCCCCTTTGCTGCTGTGAAGGTCGGGGACATTTTTTGCTGAGTAGGTGAAAGCTGTCAGGGAGGGGGACATATGTGTCCCTAGAGATGGTGGGTCAGCAGGTTAGGGTTTGCAGCAGTCTTCAGGCCTGGAGCCCTGAGTGCCTTCAGGCAGCTGCTTTCAGATGGAGTCTGAGGATAGGCACGGTGTGCGGGGGCCCCTTTGCCTGCATCTAGGGAAGTGGCCATGTTATCCCCTGACCAGCAGGGCTGCCTTGTTTGGCAGTCAGTTATTCATCAGAAAAATGCACCGGAAGAAGCGCCCAGGGCCTCCCACCTGTGAGACACCATGCTGGGGAAGGGGCGGTGCAGGTTCTAGGTTTGCATGTGGCAGCTCCTCTAGGCCTCACCCCAGCAGGTGGCACTGTGAGGGTGGGATGGGCCCCACCACTGCTTCCCTCTCATCTGATACCCAGTCCTGTGGTCGTCTCCCCTTCTGTGGTCCCAACTTCTTGGTCTTCGTAGCCGGGTATCTAAGACACTCTATGAGGACATCCAGATGGCTGCATTGTGGGGCTGCTTCTATGAAGCTTGTTTGCAGCGTGGTGCGTTGGGATGCTTCACCTGGCCACTCTCCCTCCCACGTAGATGTGTGTGGTTGAGGCCCTTTTGGAACGCCCTGCTGCCTTCCTGGCCAGCCTTTTCTGCGCCTCTGTCTCCGCTGCGGTCTGAGCTGTTGGCTCCCCGCCATGTCTTTAGCCACAGCCCTGCTTGAAGCCCTGAGGCTGAATACCCAGGCACCCCTATATTTCAGTCAAGTCCGTCTTAGCTTCCCGGAGCTGCCACAACAAAGCGGCATGAGCTGTGCAGCCTGAAGCAGCAGGAATTCACGCTCTAGGTTCTGGAGGCTGAAGTCTCAGATGAAGGCGCAGGCAAGGGCCCTCAGATGCGGACGCCTCCTCCCAGCCAGGGGCCTCGCCTGCCTCCCTGTGGTCTGCACAGCGATGGCCCTGCAAGTCGTCTGCATCAGCTTTCCCTTCTGCGGACTCCAGCTCCTCTGGGTCAGGACCTACGGCGTGACCTCATTTTAACCCAGCTGCTTCTGAGAGCCCCTGTTTGCTAATGAGGATGCGCTCTAAGGTGCTGGGGTCTTCAGTCCATTGTTTTTTGGGGGCACAGTTCAACCTGTAAGGGCCCGAGGGGTTCTTCCTGCCCGCTGCACACATTCAGACCATGGATTGCAGTAAAGAAATAAAGTTTAGGGCCGGATGCAGTGGCTCACGCCTGTAATCCCAACACTTTGGGAGGCCGAGGCGGGTGGATCACAAGGTCAGAAGGTCGAGACCATCCTGGCTAACACGGTGAAACCCCGTCTCTACTAAAAATACAAAAAATAGCTGGGCAGCGTGACACATGCCCGTAATCCCAGCTACTCAGGAGGCTGAGGCAGGAGAACGGCTTAAACCCGGGAGGCGGAGCTTGCAGTGAACTGAGATTGCGCCACTGCACTCCAGCCTGGGGGGACAGCGAGACTCCGTCTCAAAAAATAAAAATTAATAGACACGGGCCGGCCACGCCACGTGGGAGATGGAGTTCGTCCTCAGATCATCTTGTCCAAAGCTCCGAGGTTAGGGGTATTTTCAAAGGCAGTTTTGGGGGAGGGGGCGGCGGCCAGGCGACTGGTGCCGATAACCACGTCCACCTGCTGAGCCGCTCCTGGGGGACCCCGATGCAGCCACGGGTGTCAGACAAGCAAAGACCCTGGAAGGCGGGCTCCGAGGGGCAGCTCCGCCATGGCGGGTTCGCAGGAGGCAGGCAGGGTCCGCCTGCGGCCTCGGGGTGCTGGGCTTCGTGCGGCGCGGGCTCCTCCTCAGCTTGACGAAGGCGTTGACTCCGGGGCAAGGCCTCTCCGGGAAACTAGCCTAACAAGTCAGCGCGGCCCGATGGCCCAGAAGTAACAGGAGGGCGCCACAGGGTGCGCTAGCGCAGCTCGCTGTTGGGGTTTTTCTCACAGATAGAATTTTTGCAAAGGCGGCTTCAAACCTAAGGCTCTGTCACTAACCTGCCGTCTCCAAACCTGCTACGTGGAGGAGCCTTCGGTCTCCACGGCCCCGCAGGAAGCGGCGCGTCTGGCGCCTGAAGCCCGCCGCGGTCAGCCGGCCGCCAGGGGGCGCGGGAGCCTGGTCTTCTGGGGGCGTCCACGGCTGCCAAGGCCCGGCCGGATGTCCCGCCCCGGCGCCCCGGAAGGAGTCGCGAGAGAGGCGGCACGGGCTGACAGTGTCCCTGAGCCTCCGAGGTCGTCTCGCCGGCACCGGCGTCGCCGCCCAGCGCAGTGCCCAGCCCGGCCCTGCCGACCTGCCTCTACCGCCGGCTCCGCGGCCTTCCCCGAGGGCTGGATGATGGGCGCTTTCGCCCTGCAGACGGTGGACACCGAGCTGACCGCGGACTCGGTGGAGTGGTGCCCGCTGCAAGGCTGCAGGCACCTGCTGGCGTGCGGGACCTACCAGCTGCGGCGGCCGGAGGACCCGCCTGCCGACCCCCAGAGCAAGGTGCGCGCGTCGCGGCTTGGGGAGGGGAGGGGAGGGCAGGGCAGGGCAGGGCAGGGCAGGGCCGGGCCGGCCACGAGGTTGAGGCCGAGAGGCGCACAGAATCGCCCAGGAGGTGAAGAGGGGATGTTGGCCGTTTGGCCAGGACGTAGGTCAGAAACAGTTTAGAATCTTTTTAAAAACATTATTCTCGGCCCAGGCTACTCCGCAGCTTGAGTGCGGCGAGGATGCCCTGAGCCCTGGAGTCCGCAGGCTGCACTCAAGCCTGGGGTGACATGAGCCAATGAGACCTTATCTCAGAATTGATATTTGTTTTTTTGTAGGTCAGTATGACGATTTTGTTTTTTTTGCGGTTGTTTTTCGATTTCGTTTTTTTTTTTTTTTTTTTTTTTTTTGTTTTTTGTTTATACGCGACTTCGGGGAGAGTAGGGCTGCCTTACTGGTACAAGGGGTGTAGAGGCTGGAGATCAGGATGCTGCCGTATCATCAACCCAGGACCAGTCCCACCCACTAAGATAATGATGGCTTAGAATATCATAGCCCCTGAATTCAGAATTAGTGGAAGGCTTTTGAGGTACCATGACCCCGTCGTGTGTGCCGGTTGGTGAGGTCGACATTCGCAACCTCTAGCAGCGGCAGACTTGCTTTCCATTAGGTTCGTGGGACAATATGTCCCAAACTGCTTCTATCAATGTGACCGTTACGCAAGTGGATGCGCCTGTAGAAAACAGAAGCAGGCAAAGAAGTACTTCTTACACTAACTAGCTATTGACATTGAATAAATTGCTGACTTGGTTCCACCAGGGGGGCATATAATAACTTCATGGTAATTATGCCTAAGGTTTGTAATGCCATTATACGATGTAGTCTCCCATTTTTTGAGCTTCGTACAAATTCAAAATGATATGGTACTGACTGGTAATAGTGCGAGCATTACTGTTAAACATTATTAGTTGGAGAACAATATTTTTATATCTCTAATTTATTCTCCTTAATGTATCAACAATATTTTCCTTACTTTAGTTTACGTGTTATTTGTACTGCCATATTAGAAGGTTTGAACTACCTCCACTCTGTATTCATTTCACTCATGACATACACACGAGCACTACATGTCTACCTCTTAAGCAATGCTGATAGAAGTCCCACCTACTAGTTCAGTCTTGCGTGAATTCACTGGTTATATGTGTGATACCTTGAGTATGTTCGGTGGTAGTTTTATTTCTTTTTTGATCTAGTGTCCTTCACATTACCTTCCATTTACATGCATTCTGTACATTACCTGATGAACGGTAACGGATACCGATAAAGAATCAGTGGATACGAGTAACTATAAAAGGTCCCTATATAAATATATAATGTGATGACTTTGTATACCCTTCCTGTTGTTCCAAGGTTTGTTTGTTTTTTTTATCTTATCCACGTCTTGCCATCATGTGATTTCTGATCTATGACTAAAGACAAACAATGTTTTAATGGACTCCGTCTATGAAGCCAAATTTGAGATGCAAGGGTTATGTTTCCGGGTGATGTTTTGTTTTGAGTAGTGTCAATATCAAGTAGGTGTGTTAAAACATGTTCTCGATTGAAAACAACATAGACTAGATGGCTGCGTATTGGCTAGCACACATCAGTCTCAAATGTCC